CACCATTCCTTTCAATTGCGTGACTGACATTGAAATTCAGCACAAATCAAGTGACCGAACTGTAACAATAATAACAACAAAAATAAATTATGAAAGAATACTCTAAGATACCTGTCTGTTACTCATCATCTTTCGGTCAATCATGCCACACGTACACCAACGTGTCAGTCCCAAAACCAAATCCTCAAAAGCAGATCCCTGACACACAAACAATGGCTGCTCTTCATCCCCATCACCAGTGTATATACCTTATTCAATATCATCACTAATTTAAACATAATATAACTACCTGAGATATTCAGCATAGCAGAAGAACTACTTGTGTCGTGTGACTGAACATCAGAGTCCTCCTTTTCGGGTAGATCAAGCAAGTCAGACAGCAGTTCCATGTTGTCAACAGCCCGTCTCCTCTTAGTAGCTAAAGACCCCTTAAGTCGAACAAGCCTAGCTATAAAATGATCCTTCTCTTCCCTTTGACCAAAATTCAGCTCCATTTGGAAACAAAAACCCTCTCTTCTAGCGCGTTTCTTCATAAAACCAACACCATTTGGGACATTTTTAACACGTGTAAAAAATGGAAAACCACCATGCCCAGGGCACCGCCTGTTATACCTCACCTTCTTGTTTAAGAAGGAAAATAAAATTTAAATTAACTATCATTTATAAATGCATGTATACATTTAATAAAAGAAGAGATGTACCCTGAATAGTCTACCTCAAATTTCTAAAACTTGGCTCCAAAATCACTCCAATTTCATTACATTTTCTGATACATAATGATTTCCTTGTGCTATGTAGAAACTTTGATAATCCACCACAAAACCAGTTTGTTGATTTTGATTTAAAATTTATTGATCTACAGTGAAAGGAAAATAGATGATAATTAACTGAAATTGGTGTACCTTCTGTTAAATTAAAATGTTACTATACTTGTCTTTGATGTAAGTCTTGTTACGTATACAAAATAATGATCTACAACAACAAAAAAAAATTAAATAATTTCATAATATTGGGAATACATCTGACCTTTCTCTTGCTAAACAAAATGACTTCTGTACTTGGTAGCAGCTATGCTAGGGGACAATTCAACATGCTGATTTTTTAATGTCATCATTATACTCACATTCATCAACACACGAATTCTCAAGTCAACCCTGCAATATTTGCTGATTGAGAAAGGGGACATTTTTTCTGTGATATTATTAGTGGCACGTGTATTCCTTCTTTTAATGTATAATCATGTGCTGATGACTGGCACACATTTGATTTAATCCATTAGATCTGTTACGGTCTCAAAATGATTTGGTGGATTATAGAGGTAGAGAGCTGGTGCATCACTTAAATCCTGCTCATGCTGGCCAACCATTGAAAGTGGAACAATCCAGCTGTATTAATGTACTCCACAGGTTGACACTGACATCTTTGTTCATTGTTAATGCCACACCTGCACTCATCCTTGAAGTTGAAGATAGATGTTTTCAGTAAATGCGCTACAGCATATACCTCAAAAGCTGAAGCCCAACTTCTGTCTCTAGCCATTCTGGACCTCTCAATGTAGAAGTTAATTGTTGCTAGGGTATCAGGAGCATTTCCATCATACCATGTGCAATAGATGAACAAATGAGAATTTGCTCTTAAATATTCCACCACTATGTAACGAATTTCCTTATGTTGCTGTTGATTTCAAGTAATGATATGGGAAATTGATCTAAAGAAACAATTTCCATTACCTCTGATTGGAATACATATTTGAATGTTAGGACAACTGAGCTGTACATGAGGTCCTCTGTGTGTCAAACCATTGTGAGCATAAAAGCGTAAACCTAATTTCTGACGAATTTATTTTTGCCTATCAATTCCAACAGGATTGTATACCCAGTTGGACCAAGATTTGGTAGGGTCATAACGAATAGTGCTTGATGGCCGAGGTGCCGATTTAGCTTCATAAACTAAGCAATCATCATTACTGCCGGGGCAAGGTCTCTTAGCTACTGCTGGAGTCACAGAAGATGAACTTCTCTTCACAGTTACCTTGAACACTGCTTTTTGAGCAGAAAGATCTACAGACCCCTTATTACACGAAACAGACTGTGCTGTAGCAAATTTTTTGGCTACTACTGGGCATACAGATAGTGAAATCCTCTTCAGACAAACTTTACTATTGCTGGACATGGCTTTTCCAATATCAATGTCAATGGAACCTTTAAGTTCACATTTTAGTGCCTTTGTTGCAGGAATTGCATACTGAGGTAGTTTTTCAATGCTCACACTGATGGAATTTGGATTAAAAATTACTAAATGCACACTGGAAAGTGATCCGACATGTCACAATGCTACATATGCCATACCATCAGCAAAAATTTTATCAGCAAAAATTTTATCAGACAAATCGATGATAGCACAGTCCAAAGAGAGTCCTTGATATTTATAGCAAAAGATAGTATTAAAGGGAAATGTGCTCTAAATATATGAATACATTTCATTACACTAAATTTACAATTCACTTTCTTGACATCATAGGGTTCATTTCTGTTATCAAATTGTACTTTGACTCGTTTTGAAGTGATGGCCAATACAGTTCCTATGGCACCATTCACCAAGCCAGATGCTGTGTCAATATTACATCTCAACATAACTCTGGCTCCTACTGCAATTGTCAATTTACTCACAGGTCCAGCAGTATTGTTGTAGACTTTATCTAGTTTCTTTAGAGCTCGTTTCGCTCTTTCGGTCCACTCATTGAAACCAGATGTCACATCAATGACATCTACACATTTTATTGTGATTGTTGGGGACTTAAGTAAGCCTAACATCTCGTCATAAAATCCTTGCAATCTTTTATGGTGGAAAAAAGACAAACAGGCACCTTGTCCTGTCATTGAATTTCAATAAATTTTTTAGAGACAGGCCCTTGAAGCACCCGTTGTTGAAGAACATGGATTGTGTTATTGGTGGGAAATCCACACCTGACACTGTACAACATATTACAAAATTCGACATCACTTTTTTGTCTCTCATTGATTGTGAGTTCGTCATAAACAATTACTTCTCTCCAGGTGTTGAAGGCATTAGTACTCTCAAGTTTATTGAGAATTGAATTTTGAGTCATGTTTTGGAAAACATGACCAGCATTAACAGGAGGCAACTGGAGTATGTCACTAACCAGCAGTACATTCTTACAACAAAAGTAGGCATCTGCCCCACTGAAAATCTCATCAAGTCGCAAATGCATGTAAATGAGGTTCAGATTTGATACCATTGAAAACTCATCAGTTATGATCAGCTTCAGATTACAAAGTGAGGTCTTTATCACTTTGTGTACCTCTGCAGACACAGCCCAATAATCAGCACCCCTACTGTTGTGTTCAACGGGTAATCAAAACAGTCTATGCATTGTGACTCCACCTACATTGAAGGCTGCCAAACCAGAAGGAGCAGCAATAGCACACTTTATGTCCTCAGTTTTCCAGAGACTGTGCACAGGATCTTTAACAGCAGCTATAAGAAATGACTTTCCTGATCCCCCAACACCACTAACAAATGTACTGATTCGTCTAGTATCATTGCACAAACTACTGCCAACATTCATGATGAATCTGATGAAGTAGACGTTGCTTAATGTGGTTGAATACACGTCTCTGATCAGAATTTAGCATGGACTCTCTCTCTGCGAGACTCAGGCCAGAATTTTGATTAAGATCAGCAACATCTTGCAGGGCAGACACTGCTTCACCGCAAACCATGAGGCCATCATCTTTCAGCTCTTCAGGCTGTACCTGTGCAGCATCTCTGGCCTCATTAATTTGTCTAACCTTGAACCTCACTTGCAGTTGCATTTTTCATGATGGGAGGTTGCATTTTCATTGTCAGCCAGCAGACAGTCAAATGCTTCTTCTGCTGTTTCATTGTCTTGCAGGAGATCAGCCTCATCTCTGAAGGGAACAAAAAGGACTATAATTGAGTAGCAATATTTCTCTCGTTCATCTTCCTTTTTTGGGTTATAAATCCAATGATCAGGAAGGCGTCATTTTTGCAGTTCTCTGTAAGTCCTTTTTCCATTTTTGTCTTTGCTATAGTAGTCACAAGTGGCAACAAATTCATAAAGACACAAATCCTCAAGCTCTACTGGTCTCTGAACATAAGAGGTATCATTAAGATTAACATGCAATAAATTATGATTTTTTGGATCTGCTGTAGCTAAATGCTGTAGTTGAGTATAATTCACAATGCTACATGTTCTGTTTTGAGGCTGGCACACGCTAATGCACACAACAGTGACTGATTTTTCAGCAAGATGATCTCCCACGAGAAGATCACTTGATTTGTAAAGCCCTGCCTCTCTAGAGCGTAGGGCTTTGATACCAAAGCTCCAAAGTCGACTGAAAATGTTTTGATTGTCACTAACTTCCTGCCATACATCTTGCATGTGACTCTTTTCAGCTTTGGTAACGCATCCTGTAATGTAATTTGCTAGTACTAGGAATGCCTCACTCACAAATTGGACATCAATATTGGCTTTCCACAGGAGCAACAAGAGCGGATTATAGTCATTGACTCTAACTTCTGTTGCATCTCGTTTCAGGTTTTATATTTTCTGATGTGCTTTCAAATTTTTAGTAACATCCTAGAGTGTAGCTTTTGACCTTACAGGACGTGGATAACCAAACTTACATCTTGGAAAATATTAACCACCTGACTTGTACTTCCTTCTACAGTAAGCACTACACTGATGCAGCAGCTTTGATGTCACTAACTTATGCAATTTTGGGCAGGTGTCACTGTCAGGAATGTGACATGTGATTCTCTCATCAATGAACTTGACAACATCTTCAGGCTTGTCTTTTCCCATAATAGGAGCATTCTGTATCCAAAGGAGCACATGATAATGAGGAGCACCAGGTTGCTGGTACTCCTTTGTCCAATAGAATTGCTCCACTTGGCCCAAAATCTGGCCCTTCCTAATTACAGTGAAAAGAACTCATGAAATCTAAGAGAGAATTGATGAGAATCAGAAATAGGATCTTCATTACATAGTCTTCCATTATCATGAGTCAGGAACATTATTAACTTTCCTGAGATATTCAATTATGTCCTGGCCTCATATTCTGCGCAACTGAAAGTGCAAAAGAATGTGGGAGATCCATGTTGCCTGACCATTCAGTCAAGGTCGCCTTTCTTCTTAAACCAAAACTTCTTAGTTCCACGAACAGATTGAAGTGCAGTTGAGAGGTTAGCTTCCAACATCAAGTAATTACTGTTGAGTGTCTTCAGCATATCAGCAGCAGACATGCTATGTTTGGATGTGGTCTTGAGGGTGTTGTAAATTCCACTTTTTAACTCCCTCAACTCCTTCTCCCACATTAAAAAAAAACATACTGGGACACTTCCTGTACCCTGAATCTTTGTTGAGAAGGCGGGACTTTATGTACTCTGAATTGCTGATTTTGACATTACGGAAATGATGAGCACCAAATTCTCCTGTAGGAAAATGTGTCAGGAAA